TAGAAATAGAATTTAGCTTTCTATAATCAATGCAGATTCGTTTATCTCCAGTTTTCTTTGCTACTATAACTACAGGAAAAGCCTAGGGACTTAAAGACTTCCTGATAATTCAATTTTCTTCCATACGTTTGATTTCATTCTTGAGAAAATTAAGCTTTATTAGATCTTTACATTTATAAGTTCCTACAGTAACTGAAACATGATTATTGGTCAAAATGTTATGTTTTACCAAGCTAGTTTGTCCAATTTTTGTTTGGCTTAAGGCACATATATCTTCATAATCATCAATTAATTTTTGAAAGGATATTTGCTGCTTATCATCAAGAGGCCCAACTTGAAAGTCATCCTTAATTTTCCAAACATTTTCTTTAGAAGTTTCAGTAAGAAATACTGCTGGATTAGCTTCAAATTCTTCCTTAAATGCTAGAGTTAAATAGACATGATTTTCTTCATTCTAGGGGTTGTAGTCGAGGGGTAGAAGGTCAGTTTCCTCCTCATATTCTTCTTGGCTGTCTGCCATATATGCTTCAATTTCGCTAAGTTCCTCTTCCTTATAATCGTCCAAAACTTGTTCTAGTTCATCATCCTATTGATCTTGAATAGTAGGATAACTAACAGGGGCTTCATTTGCACTAGAAGTTACAGGAACTGTAATTGTTTTCGCTAAATATCTCAATCTAATTTGGTTGATTCTGAAATCAAGGCTAACATGAGTTTTTCTAAACCAATTCATTCCTAAAAGTAAGGTTTCATCTTGTGAGTCGATAACTTGTAGAGAGATAGGAATTAATAGGTTTTGGATAACAATTTGAGCCCTTTTAACTTATTCTAATACTCTAGTTTTTTCTCCATTAGTAGTGACTACGACAGTATTAGACTGTTCATCAATAGATAATTCTACTTTTTTCATTAACTTTCTGGTGATAATGCTGACAGCAGCTCCAGAATCTAAGATAGCAACAATAGGGTTTCCTTTAATTCTAACATAGCAATGAATGGCTGTAGATTTGTCTTCTTTCTCTTCTTCACTTTCTTGATTAGCATAATTTGTTTCTTGAATTTTTGGTCTCCTTAACCCTTAAGCAAGGTTATATCTCTGGTTTGAGTATTGCAAAAGCTGATCAATTTTTGCAGAAGAAGGCATTTGTAACAAATCTTGCATGACATTATAGGAAGCCATTTGATCGATTTGAGATGGTTCTCATTTAACTTTCTTCTTTTGAATAGGAGTAATAATTTGCGGGGTTTCCACTTCCATGGATTCATCAATGGATTTTCTGCTTCTCAAATTTAGTTCCTTTCTGGATTCAGATTGTCTCTTTCTTTTTGCTTCTAATTGTTGAGCAGTTTTTCTATTAGTGATATAAGGTTTATTTCGTGGGAGGGCATAGACTTCTTCCTCCTCTACTTCAATTTCTTCTTCTTCACTATCTGTAAAAACTCCAACATAACTGGCTTCTCTTTTATCAGATTTCCTTCGATATACTGGTTTTTCAGACATGTATTCTTTTGAATAATGTCCTTTTTCTTGACAACGATAACAAATAACATCCTTTTTGTCCCAAGCCTTTGTATCCCAAACTTTTGTAAGATTTCTATCATCTTTTGGTTTTCTTCTTTTAGGTTTTCCTTCAAGTTATGCAGATAACGCATTGGAAAGAGTTGCATAGTTTAAGGATAACTGTTACATTTGTTTAGTAAGATTATTAATAGCATTATTGTTTCCACTTGGTTGAGTTAGTATAGGAGATTGTTGTTCATAATATTGACCATTTTCAACTTGTTTAGCTGCATCAATAGCTTCTTCTACATTTTTAGGATGACTAAATGCTACAAGAGGAATGATATTCTTCCTTAATCCATTAAGAAAAAGTCTTACAGTATATTTATCTGATAAGGCACTAGAAGAATCGACTTTCTTTAACAATCTTTTAAATTTTCCTGCATAAAAATCCACTTTTTCATAAGGTCTTTGATGAAGTGTATTTAGTTGATAATGCCATAGATTTTGCTTTTCTTTAGTTGAGAATTTTTCTAAAAATAATAGTACAAAACTTGCAGCAGCATTACCATTTAAACTCTAGTAAGTGATAGTATCAACATTTTCTTCAAACCATTACGCAGCTAGTCTAAGCAGATATCCTGGTACAATTTTTAGCATTCGAGCCTTAGACCAATTATTTGCTTCAGCAGCAATTTCAAAACTTCTGATCCAATCATTAGGGTCTTCATCATCATTCCCATAGAAAGGTTTTACCGTAATAATATTACTTTCTTTTGGTGTAGTGTTTCTACCATGTCCACCCGAACCAGATGGTATATTTTTAATATCTTTAGCAAGATCTTTGAAACTTTTTGTCATGTGGTCCATGAGGTTCTTTAACTGTTCAATATTTATTGTTGTTTCAGTCACTTCAGAGGTTGTAGATGTAGGAGTAAGGGGTGAGATAGAAGTATTAAAAGATTTTTCAAAACACTCAGTAGTGTGAGTAACTAATAATAAGTGTTGTAAAACAGAAGGTAAATCAGCAGGGTATAGGTAATAATTTAAACAATGTAATAATACAACTGCTGCTTTTGTCATTTTGTTACTATTATGAGCGTTTTCACAATAATTATCTAAATAAAGTTTAAATGCTGTTAAAGAGCAATTACTGAATGCTATAGTATTATATTCACTAGAGATCCAATTCCAAAAGTTTTTAAAATTCTTTGTTACTATTTG